GCCTGGTTTAAAAGAAAAAGCCAAATCACGGATTTGGTAAAATGCAAACAATTTCACATTTGTAGACATTTACTGTCTTGTCTCTTTGGCTCTGCAAGATTACACTTTCCTGATATAAACAGTAAGCTGCTTAGGGAAGAATTCCAGCAATTCGCCTTTCCCAACCTTGCACATAGCAGCCAGAGAGGCAATTTATGTACAGTGACTCCCTGTTCTTGTTTAATTTCCTCAGACAAAACAAGAGATTGCGGCGGTGCCTGCCAGTTCAAAGGAGCACGGAGTGTTTCTATGGCCCGTGTCTTCACCTCATGAATCAGGAGGTTAGAGCCAAACAGCCTTTGGAGTCCTCCAGTCTAGTCTTTGTTTTACTGATGACCAACTGAGGTCCAGACGAACTCACTAGAAGTTTCAGAGTGCCTAAGTGTCAAAGCTGAGTCTTGAGTTCTGTTTTACTTAACCTTAAGGTTTTCCCTGATATCCCCTTCCTCTGGCTTTCTTAGCCGTAGTTACTTGTGATGATCTAGGATGAAAACAGAAAGTGTGTTAATCGTATTCTTGTTCTTATAATAGCAGCAGGCTAGCAGCCAGTGTGAGCACCAGGCTGTGTGATAAAGCCTGGTTTTTGGAGCTAGGATTCGCATTCAGTGAGAGAAATGCAGGTTCTCTTTCTAGTGGTTTCCAGGACATACCCTGGCCATTATGGGCCAGCCTGGTCAGATGACAAAAGGACCAGCTTTATTGAACCTGGCTGCCTTTGATCTGGGTTTAACCCTTCTGAGTCCCAGCTTCCTGATTAAATGTTGCAGCCACACCATAGAAGTACTGTGATATGTGTAACTATAAAACTCAAAGGAAATACCAATCATATGTGATAGAGAGGTGAGTGAAAAGTCAAAATGAATAGACTCTTTAAGTGATTGGAATCTCGTTTGTGTTTCTGCATAGACACAAAATAGATTGTACAGATTGTGTTACTTCTCACTTTTGTGGAATACATTGTAGAGGGGTGTGCATCCTAGGCAAATCTCTTCAAAAGCTTAGGTTGGAAAACCATATTTCTTTTTTGTACAATAGACAGAAATCAGCCAGAGAGATGATTCTGATGTCCCTTTCCTGAGCGATAGGAAACCACAGCTGTGTCTTTGGATGAAAAGCAGAAATATGTTTGACTTTGAGGGAGAAGTGGTGAATAACTGAACTATGCAGTAGATTTATAGAAGGAATTAAAATACTGTTTTAAAGATACTCTTTTTAAAAGTCATTCTCATACTTCAGGGGGTTAAGTCCTTGAAATGAGAAAGATGCAAAAGCGATGTGAAACCAGCTCCCTATTCATGAAGTGTTTACTTCTCCTCAGTGGCAGACAGTCACACAAGGTTATCTGCGATTGCAGATCCAGACCATGCTGGAAGAGAAAGCAGTTGTGGGAGCTCAGAGCAGAACAGTTCATACAGGGTGACAGGGAGACAGTAGCCATTTGCCGAATTGTGAATGTGAGATTTGTATTGTTACGAAGAAAAGACAGGCTGTGTTTAAGCTCTGATTCAGCATAGAATTTAGAGGAGAATATAAAAGTCTTGGCTGGAGGGGAGGGTGGAATTTGGCAAATCATAGAGGCAAGCGTGGATAATTAAGATTGGGACAGCACTTTGACTTCAGGCCTAGAAATAAAGGTTCTAAGGAAACACATTGGTCTTCACGGTGTGTGAGCATGCTCATACATGAGTGTGCACATATATGCATTTCTAGCAACATTTGGTAGGTGCCTGGCTTGGAGCTCCCAGCATAAGATACTGCCTTTGAGAGCTCCTGGTTCTAGTGACTAAGAACCAGGAAGAGCCAAAGCTGGTCATGACACAGTGCATTGTGACACACTGACCTCACTGCTTCCTTTTTCCATCTTTGGGGTCCAGTGGAAGGAACCGTTCCAGTGATGTTGGTTAGTAGGGCCTGGGGACGGCATCGAGGATGCAACGTCTGTATTTTCTGTAGAAAACTTGTCACGTACTAAAGTGGGCAAAATGATTGATTCACCTAGACGTTGAAGGAATCGGACTTGAGTGGAATCGAGCTGCCGCCTGTTAACCCACAAACAGGTCTGAGAGTCTAAAATGAACTCCCAAGTTCTGGGTGGTTTCTCCCAACTTCCCTCATCAGCTGGTCTCTATTTGAAATCCACAGGCTGGTTCAAAAGCTCAGTAGTAAATAAGTTTTGGCATAATTTTTCCAACCTCTTCTGTGCAGAGACTGCAGACGAGCACTGTTTGGGTGACTGTTGGTAAAAGAGAGGCCGCTTGCAAAGAGGTGGCTGGTGGTGATGTCTCCTTCCCGCTCACATACTGGGCTTAAGCTTTGGAGAAGCAGGAAGCTCCCCCGACTGGCTCACAGGGAGCTAATTTTTCCATCCTTAGCAATAGGGTTTGCTCCGTGACCCTGGTGGGCTGTGCACATAGATTGAGGGAACCTCCTCGTGCTCGCTAGGCCTGTAGTGATGGGAAGCATTGTGGGTTAAATCCTTTCCATGGAAGGATCCAGATTGCTCACTACAGTGAAGGCAAGGTTTACTTTAGTATAGGATAGAATAGCACAGGCCAGGAGAGGATTTCAGGGAAGCATAGTTTACATACCATAAAATCCATATATTTTAAGTGTATGATTCAGTGACTTTTTAGTCAATTCACAGAGTTGTAAAATGATCACCATACCCCCGTTTTGGGCCATTCTCATCTCTCCAAAAAGTTCCTAAAGGGGGAGCTTGCTCAATAGACCATTCTCCTCTCTAACTCTAGGCAGCCAACAATCTGCTGCACTGTCTTATAGATGAGGCCATTTAAACATTTCCAATGAATGGAATCATAAAATACACAGTCACTTGCTTCTAGCATCTTTCATTTAGCAAATTGTTTTTGAGGTTTATCCATGTTGTAGAATATATATACGTGCCTTTTTATTGCTATGTATTGTTTCATTGGATGGGTTTATAGTCCAGTGGAACTATAAATTCTGCATCCATGACTTTAGAACCAACCAATGATCAAAAATATTTTGGAAAAAATTGTGTCTTAATGAGGGTGTACCGATACTTTTTCCTTATCATTATTCTCTAAATAATACATTCTAGTGGTTTATATAGCTCAAAAATTGTTTCAGATACTATATGAAATCTAGAATCGATTTATAAAGTATGAGAGGTACATTTAGGTTATATTGCAAATACTGTATACCATTTTATATAAGGATTCAAATATTTGTGGACTTTAGTATTTCTAGTGGTCATGGAATTAATCCCTTGCTCGTTCCAAGGACAACTAATCCGTATTTCGTGGACACAGTCATTAGCTGCTGAGTTGTTTTTACTCTTTGACTCTTATGGATAATACTGCTGTATTGGTTTCCTTTCCTCTCCTGTAACAAATTACTGCAAGCTCAGTGGCTTGAAACAACAAGAATTTATTATCTCAGAATTCTGGAGTCCAAAATTCTGCATTCGAGGTGTAGACAGACTGGAGTTCCCTCTTCAGATCTCAGGAGATCCCATTCCTTATGTCTGCCAGCTTCTAGTATTTACCAGGCATCCTGCATGGGAAGGCAATCACTGATCTCTGTGCATTTCTCAGAACTCTGTCTTCCCTACGATGCCAGTGCTTAGGCACATCGTAGTCCCTACGATGCCAGTTTCTAGGACCCACCCTGAGTCAGGAAAAAGCTGCACCTCTCAGATTCTTTTTTTTTTTTTTTTTTTTGTCTTTTTCATTTTTATGGGTAACAGGGATCGAACTCACGACTGCCTGCTTGCAAGGCAGGCGCTTATGCCGCAGAGCTAAATCCCCAGCCCCACCTCTCAGATTCTTAACCACCTGTTTTGCCATTGTAAGATAAAACACACAGCTCCCAGGGATCTCATTTGGGTATCTTGGGTGTGGGAATTTATTACAGTCCTACAATAGCTGTGGGCATTCAGATAAGGTTTTTTTTTGTAGATATGATTATTTTTCCTTTATAGATACCTAGGAGGAGGTCTGCTGGGTTGTATGGTAAATTTGTATTTAAAGAGCCATCAGACTGGTCTCCACAGCGGCTGACATTACGTTTCTGCCAGCCAGATTAGGTCTAATTTCTCCTCATTCTTGCCAAGTGACTGTCTTTCTTTTGTTGTTGTTTAATTGCAACCGTTCTTGTGGGTGCGAAATGGTATCAGATTGTGGTTTTCATTTGCATGTCCCTGGTGACTAATAATGCTGTACATCTTTCTTGTGCTTATTAGTCACAAAAATTTTTGGTCAAGTAGCAATGCAGCGTGCTTGCCTGTCTGAGTGTTGGCTTGCTGCCTTCATTATCAGTTGAGTTAGCCTGCTGTTTTGAACGATCTCGGCCAAGTATTGTAGTCCAAAAGGCTGAGGTGGCCTTCATCAGGAAGTGCTGGGCAGCCCCACTCCCTAGAGTGTGTAGGATGGGGGCAAGGTGCCATCTCCACCCTGTCCCCTGTATTAGACTGTTACTGTACTCCTGTGTGGCCTTTTGAGCACTAAATACGGTGTCAGGGAAACTAGTAGACGGCATTCTTACATCCCAGAGATTATAGAATTAGTGTATTTCAGGCTATTGTCTGATGAGCAAAAAATGGGGGAGTAGAGCCCCACAATGTAGTTTCTTAAGAGCCTGGGTTTTTCTTTCATAATGCTTATGAAGCTTATTGCCATGGTTATATTTTTAAATATTTTTCATCCCCTCTCCCACTATTAAGTGCTTTGGGGACAGGGATCATGCTCTGTTTTTGTCACTCTGTCACCAGTCTGTAATATCATAGGCAATGTATAGCAGATGACCGATCAATAGTTGTTGGAAGGTAGAAATGGGGCTCCATTTCGTGCTTCACCATGGGCGATTCATAGGACATCACTTCCTAGAGAGTTGTTTGTTCAATAAATCATTCAGTACCCCTGAATGTGCTGGTAAGTCACATGCCTTCTAATTTGGCCCTTTTTCCCCCTCATTTCCAGTGATCTATAACTACAATGCTTCTCAAGATGTGGAGCTCTCCTTGCAGATCGGTGACACGGTGCACATCCTGGAGATGTATGAAGGTAAGTGTGGTTGGCCCTCCGCCAGACAGCCGCAAAGCAAAAGCAGCGGCAGTTACTTATTAATAAGGCACTTAGAGTAACGTCAACATGCTTTACTTCCTGAAGCAATGCTGGTAAAAGTCCAGGAAGGACACAGGTGATGCAGTATGTATGGAGAGTGATTTCAAAACTGCTGTGAATGCAGACATTCCTGGTTGAGGTCTGTGGATGTGTGAAGGATGCTGTTTTCTTGTCCCCCAGCCTCTGGATGCAGAAGAATCAATGATAGAGTTGGCTTGCAAGGAGATACTGGGGACCCTGGGCTGGCGGTAGCTGGAGGGAAATGTTGAGTCTCTCTCTGTTCAGCGCTGGCTGTTGCCAGGTTAGGGGAGAAAGTTGGTAACGTTGCTGAGATTCTTTCAGAAAATTAGGTCAGAACTCTAGCAGAAAGTCCTGCTTGAATATTTCCTCTAATTAGGCCAGGCTTGGGGGTGGTTCTGATTCCGGTTAACCTCTTAGTGGTCGGTGGGGTTATATTATTAGGGCTGTTTGTCTGCAAAGCACAGATCATGTCTGCAACGTGCATCGCACAGCCAGGCTTATAGCTTCAGTTGGGGTTCTCTAAATCCTACCAGAAAGCTGTTCTGTGTGTCCACATTTCCATTCCAGCTCCCATAGCAACAAAAGTGTATCCAGGCCACTCAAGTTGGGGGTTGAAGCAAAGAACGCCTTTAGGGCCTGATTGTTTGCTGCGGAAGTTGGGGCAAGAGCAAGGTGGGAAGTTAGGCAGACTTTAGTCACAGATGCAGTTTGCTGGAACAGATACTGGGTTTCCCAGCTGTGGCTCCCCACCTGGATGCTTGTGAAGGGGGAGTGGCACAGTTGTCATCTGGTGCCTGGTCATGCAGGTGCCTAGGCTAGAACAGGGTGACCCAGGAAGAGGAGATGGGAATCCAGCAGGAAAAAAATTGGAGTGTGCTCATTAAAAAACACACAAAACAAAACATAAATCACCCACCTGGTTGCACGAAAGACTCTGCTTTCACTGCTGCCTCCCTACCCTTTCCTTTCTGCAGCTCAGTATAATCATAAAACTGCCAGGGCTGGGCCAGGACAGGGCAGGCTCTGTGGGGTCTTCTCATTCCTTTCTCTTACCCCTGTTTTCATCCTTGTCATCCCAGACCTGGCCAAGCATTGATTCTAAGTTAGAGCAACGCATGTGCGGCAACTGACTTCCATTATAGGGACTCCTTTGCTTATGGGCACCATAATTGCACCTCTTTTTCGAGGGAACAGTGTCTCCTTGCGAGCCAACTGTGTCACTGATTCTTCTGCATCCAGAGGCTGGGGAACAAGAAAACAGCATCTTTCACACACATGCATTTTATTTGCACAATAGAGAAATCCGTGTCCACAGAAACTATATCAAATGCATGTGTTCAGTTTCTGTCACTCTTTGTCCTGGCTGAGCAAGAATATGTATGTGAGCATCCCTGGGTACAAAATTTTACATGTGACATGTACTTTTTATCATTCTTGTTTTTTTTTTTTTTTAAGATTTACTAAGATTTATTTGAAGATACTAAGATTATTTTTCCACCAATTTATTATGAAAAATTTCAAACATAAAGAAATGCCAAAGTAATTTTACAGTGAACGTCTACCTATCATTTATATTCATTTTGGTTTTTATTTTTATTACTGTATGTTGCAGTACATAATAATTTCATTCCTCATGGAGGATTGGTTCACGTACATAATGCATTTTAATTGTTTTCATCCCCTTCTCCCCTTTCATCTCTTGATCTTTCCCTTTTACTAAAGATCTCTCTGTTTCCTGTTATCCATTTTTCATTTTGTTCTTTAATTTATTTATATTTTAGCTTCTCTCCTATGAGAGAAATAACGTGATATTGAAGCTTGTGTGTTCGATTTATTTCAGTTAACATTGTGGTCTCAAGGTGCATTCATTTTCCTACATATGATTCATGCAAACTAGTGTGACCACTGTGGAAACCAACGTGGAGATTCCTCAAAAGAACTAAAGCTAGAAATTCCATTTAGCCCAGCACTTTGCCTTCTAGCTATTTTCCTGAAAAGGTTAAAGACATCGTATTACATGGATGCATGCACACTCATATTTATAGCAGCACAGCTTATAACAGCTAAATCTTGGAAGCACCCTGTATGACCATCTACAGATGAATGGATAAAGAAAATGTGGTATTTTATGCATAATGAAGCACTACTGTACCTATAACATTAAAGTTTAATTTTGTGGTCAGTTTTTCAAATTTGGCAACATTTTTCTGTCCCTAATAGAAGTGTGTGAAATCTCTCACCATGACTCCTGTTTTTCTGCTTCTTTACAGTGATAGCAGTTGTTTGCTTTTTATATATTCTAAGACCTGTTTTTAGGTACCTACCATTTTAGAATTGTTGGGTTGTATGAGTCCAGCTTCTAATTCCTGCTTTTTAAACCTTTTATCATTGTCTTCATCTTCATGGTGCCTCTTGTCTTACTCTGTTTGTCTGAAATCCAGCCAGCTCGCTGACAGGGCCAGGTCTCTAATTTCCGTCCTCCTGGTCCCACAGAGGCAGTCGGAAATGTAGTGCCAAGCCACTCAGACGTCTCAGCTCAAATCAAGCAGGTCCGCTAAGAGGAAAGTAGCCACAAGTAATGAGCTGGTCTTTTCGGATTTGGGCCTTCAGCAGATCTTCTGGTAATTCTTCATTGCCACATTAGCTCTGTGTGTGTGTGTGTGTGTGTGTCTTCAGACTTTCCTAATTATCCCATAGAACTGTGGCAAGGAAGAATGGAGTTTTGACGTGGACCTGAAATGAAATAGATACTCTCCCTAGAATACATTACATTTTTAAAAATTTTTATTTCTTTTCATTTGAAACAACATTCTCAAGATTCTTCTCATTTTTATGTGTCAGTGGAATATTTTTATGATAGGTAAACGAAGCCAACATTGTCCTCCTAGGATATACATGAATAGTAAGTTTAAAAATTTTTACTGACCCTTGTTTGTGGTACATTACAGTTAACATGCACCATGGGGAGCTGGTCCATGTACGCGACATTTTTCACTTCCTTGTTTAACCCCTTGTCCCTTCCTGCACCTCTTGGTGTTTGTAGAAAATGATGATCATGTTCCTCACAGGGACTCCAGTATGCATGTATTCCACAATCCCCCTTTTTATATTGAGCTCTTTTCCCTTCCCCTGCTGTCCCCCCTTTCAGTTTCCTTCCCATGTGCCCAATAGTAACTTTAAGTGTGCACACTGTACTATCCCAGGTCCTCTCGTGGCTGGTCAGTATACGTTCCCAAAGGCAGCATTTCTATGGGCCCGACCTAATGTGGTCGCTGAATTAATTAAACCCGCAGGCAAATGTCCTTTGACTGAAATGCTTGCATCCAAAAGTGCTTCGATTTCAGAATTTCTTTTTCAAAAAATATTTTGGAACGCTGGCATATACATAATAAGATATCTTGGAGTACAGAACCCATCTCTGTCAACATATTTATTTCTGATCTAAATTTTTGCATCTAACCTTAAGGTAATTTTATATAATACGTTCAAAAGTTTTGTCATGAAGTTTCAGCTTCTGGAGCATTTCAGATTTTGGATGTTTGTATGAGGGATTCTCAAGCTGTTCTAAATATAAACACAGACATTCAAACATACCCATTTCAGACACCATGAACTTAAGTCTGAGAAGTTCTAACCTCACAGTGCTCCTGGTATATTGCAGTGAACACACAGTTGGCTTACGGACCCACTTAATAGTTGCACAAAAATTGTTCACTGTATCAAGCTGAATGCATCTTCAGAGGATGTTCTAGAAGCTGTAAGTCCTGCTTTGCTAATGGCTTGCAGGGTCAGCTACAGAATGCTTTCATCTCGGGGGAGGACACCAGGGCCTGTTCTTTACACATGGACACATGTCCAGGTGTGAGTGAGGAGGAGATGGAACAAGAGCCCACATCATGAGCTTGCCGAGATCAGTAACTCCCAAATGGCATGTCAGCTTTGCAGAGAGATTATTAGATTGGGTTATAATTTTTCAATAGTGTTAGCATTACAACATTAATTTTTAAAACAGCGCCTGCTTCAAGGCCCAGAGTTAGGTTCTTGTCTCTGCTAAGCACTTAAGGGTTCTTGGCTGGCATCTTGAATTCCTGTGTTACTTCAGGCAGCTCAGGACTGAGTGAGGGCAGGAGAGCTTTGCAAACATTGAACACTGGAAATGCTGACTAACAACTTGTGTTTGCCCCTTCTCCTGGCCCATCCTTACTTGAAGACAAATAAACACAGTAGAAACACTCAAGGTAGTGCCAGTGAGCCTGTAAGGGTGACTCTGGCGCTTTATTTCTTGCTCCAGGGATTCTGTGTCTGGAAACTTCCTGTTAGTGACTCCTGGGGCTCTCCCTCCGTACTTTCCGCCCCACCCTGCCTTTGAGATATGCATACCAGATCTGTGTGTGCTCTTCCGGTGGCTTGGACAGCAGTCTGCCCAGACATAAAAAATTACTTTCTGCCTGCAGCCCATAACAGAGCCCCACTGAGGACTCCTCCGAGCTGTTTCCTACCCTGTGGTTGCATGAATGACTCCCCAAGAGTGGTGTTGCGCTTTTGAGGGCGAAGCTGGCTCTGCCTTTATCTACAGGAGCTAGTCTGTGGCCTTTGCTCTTGACAAACAGGCGCTCAGCAGAGGTCTGTGGAGTGTGTGAAAATGAATGGGAGGTCACGGCCAGTTGATACACAGCCAGGGTTCAGGGTTCCTCCAGGAGGAAGCCTGGATGTCACCAGGCAGAGCCACTCTTGCCTCCCAGGAGGGAAATACAGGAAGTGACTCCACTTCTCTGTCCCTGTAGCCTGCAGAACAATTTGGCCAGTGCTTACATTTTTATTTTTATTTCTAAAATAACAGCATTATTTGGGTGTGGTGGTACACGCCTGTGATCCCAGCACTCAGGAGATTGAGGCAGGAGGATTGCTGCAAGTTTGAG